GTATGGTGATAGGATGCATCCCTGGCATCTTATTTTGAAAAACATTTCCTGATTTCTTAACCATGCAGTATTTCCTTGCTCTGTTCTGGTCCAATTTTCTCATGGGCGTCTTTCCTCAAAATTTATTAGCTATACTAAAGATTTCTTTCTTCTTTAATCAGCTAATGTTTCAAGTATATCCATACATATTCTGTCTTCTTTCTTAGCTAGGCAGACATGTTCCTAGAAGCAGCTGTCAAGAAATTCGAGGATAATATTACATTGGACAAATGTACTACACAAGACATCTTTAACAAGTTAAAAAGTACAGATGTGGTTTTGATGAGCAATATGTGTTTGGCCCAAGCAATGAATGATCTTTTCAATACTCTCATGCGGATATGAAAGCTAGACAATGAAAAAGAAGGTAAAAGAATAATTAACACTTTTGAATTGCCATGCTGGTGAAGACTATTGAATATAACATGAGTGTCCAGAAGGATGAAAAATTCTCTTTTTAAGGAAGTACAGGCGAAATGCTCCTTAGAAGGATGATGAACTTGACCTCACTTACTTTGTATATAATATTATGAGGGACCAATCATGGCTAGTATAGAAGAAGGTAAGTAAAAATCTCATATAAAGGAGCTCGGCTGGCTTAGTCCTTAGAGAGCTGAGCTGCTAACATAACGGTGTTGCCTCTCTGGTGGTTCAAATCCACTGGCAGCTTCATGAGAGAAAGATGAGCATCTCCTCTCATGTGATTTACAGCCTACAAAAAGCAGCTGAAGAGTCAGCTATAGACTACAAAAAGCAGCTGAAGAGTCAGCTATAGGCTATAAAAACCAGCTGAAGAGTCAGTTATAGACTACAAAAACCAGCTGAAGAGTCAGTTATAAACTACAAAAACCAGCTGAAGAGTCTTCCATGCTAACTTGACAGCAATGAGTGGGTGAGTGATATATAAAATGAGTTAATACAGAGGCTGCTATGGGCTCAAATATAGCAACAATGAGTGTGAGTATGATGGAGGACTCAACATTGTTCTCCATTATATACTGTTGGTGTGGTTGCTATGTGCTGTTGAGTTAGAACCAACACATAGCTGATATCCCAGCAGGTTTAAAGAGGTTGTAAATCACATGAGGGGATTTCCCATCTTTCTCCAGTGGAGCAGCTGGTGGATTCAAACCACACGGCTGTTAGTATATAGGCAAGAACTATTTATTCTCCTTTGATTCTCAGTAGCACTCAAAAAAGTGCCAATGATTGCCCATTAAATATGAGTGTGAATGTAAAGCCAGTTTGAAAAGAATAAAATCGACATATCTAAAAATGGACAGATGCTGCCCTGGATGTGCTCACTAGGTGGTGACAAGAAAACCTGGAGGACAACTACCGGCCAACTAACTGGAAGAGATCTGTATTTGTTCACATTCCAAAAAAGGGTGACCTAACAGAGTGTGGAAATTATTGAATAATATCTCTGATATCACACACAAGCAAAATCCTGCTGAAGATTATCCAAAAATGACTGGAACAGTAACATCGACAGAAAACTACAAGAAATACATGCTGGGTTTAGAAGAGGCTGTGGCACAAGAGACATTATCACCAATGTCAGACGGATCTTGGCTGAAAGCAAAGTGTATCAGAAGAATGCCTATTTATGTTTCATTGACTGTGCAAACGCACTTGACTGTGTAAATCACAACAAACTGTGGCCAAACTTGAGAAGAACGGGAATTCCTTGATTATGCTCATGAGAAACCTATACTTGGACCTGAAAGCAGTAGTTAGAACAGAGCGAGGAAACACTGCCTGGTTCAAAATCAGGAAAGAAATTATCAGGGATGTGTCCTGTCTCTATACCTTTTCAATCTATATGTGTAACAGATCACTCAGGAGGCTGGGATCTATGAGGAGGAATGTGGCTTTAGGATTGAAGAAAGGCTCACCAAATATCTGCATTTTGCAGAGGACACAACTTTGATTGCCAAAACTCAGGAGGACCTAAAGAGCTTGCCGCAGAAGGTCAATAATTGTAGTCTTTAGTGTGGATTGAAGCAAAATATCAAGAAGACAAAGATTCTCACCACTGGGCTAATTGGCAACACCATGATAGATGGATAAGAGATTGAAGTTGTTAACAATTTCACCTTGCTCATCTCCACAATCAACAAACAGTCTTGGCAGCAGCAGTCAAGAAATCAAAAGACAAATTGTTCTGGGGCAAGTTGCTGTCAGGGACCTCTCAAAAGGGCTGAAGAGCAATGATATCAGGAACTAAGGGACTCCTGAATCAGGCAACAGTCTTCACAATTACTTGCTATGTATCAGGGAGCTGGACAATGACTAAAAATTACAGAAGAACTGATACCTTTGACATGTGGTGCTGAAGAAGAGTATTGAACATACTGCCAAAAGAATAAATGGGCTTTTCCCGGAGAGGGTGAAACCAGGTTTCTATTTGATGGCAAGGGTTTTGACGCTCCATCTCAAATACTTCAAGCATGTTGTCAGGAGGGACCAGTTTCAAGATAGGACATCATGCTTGGAAGGGTGGAGGGACAGAGGAGGAGAGGAAGACCTTGGATGAAATGGTTAAACACAATAACTGGGGTACTGAGGGTAGATGTGTCGGAGACAGTTAGACAGGCTCAAGATAGGGCAGAACTCACAGCTATTGTGATGGGATTGCTGTGAGCTGCAGGCGACTGGACAGCACTTCACAGCAAGAAGAAGAAGAATGACATTCTGTGTTGACAATGTCATCCAATCTGATACTATCAAACTATTATGGATATGCAGGACAACTTACTGTTGTTTTCTGCAAAAATCCTTATGACAGGCATCAACTCAAACAGCACTTTGGGTTTGGATTCAATGAGTTTCATGTTCCTCTTGTCCCAGCCAGCTCCTTCCAGATACAAGCCATACACATAGACACCCTCAGCTGGAGGGGCAGAAATATCATCCTTCATCCACTTCGTGACTTCATTGCAAAGCACCATATTGTCCAGAGCCCAGCCTTTGTTGGCACGAGTTATCTCCTGTGGGAGAAAGCAACAAAAACAGAAGACAAAGGGAGAAATCAAAGGTTTGTCTTAATATGAAGATCATGGGTGGCCTTAAAGTACTCTTATTCTAGAGAATTATAAAAGTATTTAAGGGCCTAAAAATAATGTCATAAACAATAACCATGCTGCAATTTAACTATATATACTTTAAAAAATAAAACAAACAAAACACCCTTCAAATATCAAAGATAGTAAAATATGCAAAAGCGTGAATCTTATAAGGACAAAGCTTTCCAAGGAAGTTGTTGTTATGTGCCATTAAGTCACCTGCAACTCATAGCGACGCTATGTTCAAAAGCTCTGAACCTTGCTCTATCCTGAGCCAACCTTACTGTCTCCTCCAAGGAAGATAAACACAAATATTTGCCACTAAAAAGAGCAATAGAGAAGTTATAAGGCCGCAGCCTATCAAAGATCAAAGTGTTACAAGACCCCAAAAGCAAAGCTGTACATCCTATTTGAGTTCCAACTCTCTCAGTTTTCACCATATAAAAGATAACATCATAGGGTTGCCCAATTCAATTGGGGGGAAGGGGGTGAAGGAAATGGGGAGGATCTCTTGTAAAAAAAAAAAACCAATGTATTCAAACTTTCTAAAAAAATCATAGTAATATAGAACAAACAACAACATTTTCAAATGGAAGCTAGCAGTCTGCAGACAAGTTGCTAGATTCATGTTAACGATGACATAATCACTAGTGACAAAAAGTGGATAGTTCTTCTCTATCTTATTATTTTTTCAAAACCATAATGAATAGAGGATAGAAGGATAATTGATGCCTTTGAGCTGTGGTGCTGGAGAAGAGTATTGAAAATACCATGGACTGCTAGGAAAACAAACAGATTCATCCCGGAAAGGGTTAAACCGGGTGGCTCCTTGGAGGCAAGGATTCTGAGGTTCCTCTAACATACTTTGGACATGTTGTGAGGAGAGACAGGTCCTTGGAGAAGGACATCATGCTTGGGAGGGTGGAGGGACAGCGCAGGAGAGGAAGGCCCTCTATGAGGTGGATTGATTCAGTGACTGGAATAATTGGGATGGGAGTGTCAGAGACAGTGCGATTGGCACAGGACAGAGCAGAGTTTAGGGCTGTTGTACATAGGGTCGCTATGAGTCGCAAGCGACTTGACGGCACATAACAACAACAACAACAACATAATGAACAGTAGCATAAAAAGAGATCAGTTGGCCTAGTGGACAGAAAGTCATACTCCCAAGCCAAAGGTAGGTGACTCTAATCCACAGCCCTCAGGCCTGCCTTTATTTGTTTTAGGGTGAAACATTCTTCTAGGTCTTATAACCCTGGTATGATCATTTGCTGTACAGAAGTAACTCATGGTTGCTGTGAAGCCAAACACTGTGACACTGATGAGTCAAATGCGAGAATGGTTACCCAGAGTGAACAGTGTTTAGTAGAGATCCCTGATTAAAACAAGCTTGGAAGCAGGAGTGACATCCACTTCCCAAACAGCTTGCCTCTGGAAACCCAATGAACCTGGAGAAAAGATGAATGCTACACAAATGTCCGAGTCTTTCATTCATAGGCTCGCTATGAGTCACCTACAACTCGACGGTACTTAAAAGCAACAACAAGAACATAATGAAAGAAGAAAACCTCGACCAAAAAAAAATTGATAATAACCTAACAACTCAAGTGAGAACTTTTACCTGGCGCATCGCAGTCAGAAATCCTTGAGGGTTAAAAAATCCAGTCATCCAAAAGCAGTGAGGCCGCCCATTGAAAACCCAAGCTGTGAACTGGCTGTTTCTTTCTATCAGTTCAGTAAACCAAAATCCCAGCGTGCTTGAAACCCAAGAAGCCTGAAAAACATGCAGCAAAACAGTTAATTAGTATAGGTTTAACTCCGTCATTTAACTGGATATATTCTTAGGGAAAAAAATATGAATTCCAATTTCATTTTTAGAATGAGAAAAATCTCCAAGACAGTAATTTTCCTTCTGTTGTGGCATTTAAGGTTTTCAAATTATTCTCCTTGATAGCGTTAATGACATAAGGTATGGCAGTGGAAGGTCTGTTGTCAGGTGCCATCAAGTGGACTACAAATCATAGCAACCCTGTGAATGACAGACCTGAACTTGGCCCATCCTGTACTATCCTCATGTTCTCTGTTACGCACATACCCATTGTAGTCACTGTGTCAATTCATTTCACTGATTGTCTTCCTTTCTTTCACTGACCCTCTGCTTTTCCTAGCATGATTATTTTTCCCCCATGGGTAAGCCTCTTTTGACAACACACCCAACTACGTAAGACAATGTTTCACTATATTCTTGACTCTGTGAAGTACTCTGATTGTATTTCCTCTAAAACAGTTTTGTTTATTCTTTGGGCAGTCTATGGGGTATCTATACCCTTCACTAACACCACAATCCAAAGGCAGCAATTCTTTTTCAGCCTTCCTTATTCATTGTGCAACTTTTAGATTCATACAAGGCAATTAAAAATATCTTGGTTTGGATCAGATATACCTTAGTCTTTAAAGTGGTGTCCTTGCTCCTTCATACACTTTTAAAAAAATATGTGGTTGTTGTAGTGTTATTATTATAAGCCATTGAGTTAACTATGACTCATAGCGACCTTATCACCAATGGCTCTGAACCTTGCCCTATCCTGAGGCAACCTCACCATCTCTGCCACACCTGACCCCACTGCCACAGTCACAGTGCCAATCCATCTCAAAACATATGGTAGAACGAGCTAATCATCATGTGACTAAAGCAGACCCACTGCCACTCCACTGATCCTGATTCAATGTCACTCCACGAGTTACAGAGTAGAGCTTCCCCATTGCGTTTTCCTGGCAGTATTCGTCACAGAAACAGATTACCAGGCCATCAGTACTGCTCTGTGACATGACTGCCTAGGTGTGAACTGCCCATGTGTAGATTAGTGACTGAGCACAGATCAGTCGTGAGTCTCAGGGCCCTATCACACTAACCCCAGGTTGACATGAATACTAGATCGGTATGCTGTTCAACAGGGAGCTCGGACATGGCAACAACTGAGGATGTAGGAGGACCATGCAGTGTCTCAAATAGTGGCTATAAGTAAGTACCCACAAGACAGCATCTAATGACAGCAATGCTATTCATGTCGCTTGCTGTTCAAAGAACCACCTTCCACATACAAAATACTTCTTATAAAAATCAACTGCTGTCAAATGAATTTCAAACCATAGCAACCTTCCATTGGATTTCCAAATCTATGAATTTTAACTAGAAGGATCTGCCTTTCTCTTATGGAGAAGCTAATAGGTTTGAACTGCCAACCTTTCAGTTAGCAGCCTAAGACCCTACTAAGCTACCAGGTACCTTAAAATACATACACACAAATAAATACATCACCAATTCTATTATTTACTGAAATACAACAGCTTTCCACTATTTCTCATTAGATTACATTTTCAATGAGTACAATACATCACAGGATTTCTATTTCCATAAGTATATTCACAGCATCATCAAGATAAGGCACCATCACTATGAAATATGGGCTATGGTTCATAAATTATAGACACCTTTCTCCACTCATCATTTTTAATGAGGTGAACAACAATCATTTTACGGGACTATCGTCCTTATAGAATATATTTTTATTTATTTCATCCAGTGAAAAGACAAAAATGGAAACCCAAGTGGCTTTACCATCCACAAATTAACGGAACTCTCCCTGAATTCATTTGTGGAGCATATATTAATAGAGCCGGCACAAACGTGTCGTTATATACTGCAGCCACTTGTAGGTAGCTGCACATCATATATGATAACTTTTTTACTATAACTGCAATAATCGATATGTGAATAAACATAGTAACCAACAACTGGGCACTTCAAAGGCACCTCACAGTGCTATTAACAGACAAGATTGTTGATCTGCTTCCACTAATATTACATCAGCAAACACAAAGGAGCAGTTCTATTCTGTAACACCTGGGGATGGCAGGAGGTGGAATTGACCCCAATGGCAACCAACAAGAATAACATGAGGATATTAGTCACACACACACACACACACACACACACACACACACACACACCCAAAACAAAAATAAACCCACTTTCAAGCACATTATCCTTAGCTGTTTCCACTTGACCAATTAGAATTCTTTTTTAAGATTAATTTTAATGAACGTTTACAGAGATTTTGGATTTCCATTCATTCATTGTTGCATTTTTCTCCCTGACCACCCCTCCCCCCTCCAGTTCATTCTTCTCTTTGAAAAGTGAAGGAAAAATTCTTTCATTGGTATACAATCCCTCCTCCCCGAGTACACTCCACTATGCAATCTTCATTCTGGACTCTTATCATAAGCATAATACCCAATAATTTATCACTTTTTAAACAGTTCTCTCCCTCATCTGTTTCAATGCAGTATACATAATTTACCCAGTCTTTCTCAGTCTCACTCCAAGCCTGATGCTAGTCCTGTTCTACAAGAGTGGCACTATTCAGTATTTGTAGTTTTTGTGACTGAGATACCTCACTCAGCATAATGTCCTCCAGGGTCACCCATTTTAAATAATTTTGCATATGTTCCTTGTTTTTCAATGCAGTGTAGTATTCCATTGTGTGAATATACCACAGCTTCTCTATCTATTCTTTTGTTGATGGGCACTTAGGTTGTTTCCAACTCTTTGCTACTGTGAACAAAGCCGTGATAAACATGGGTGTGCATGACCAATTCTAACTCTTACAAAGGTTGGTGCAGAATAGCAGAATAGCAGTAGGTTCATACACACTTTTTTCCACTGAGCAGGAATTCTGGCGTCAAACATGCAATCCAAAGCATCTCTTAGATTTTCACTCATGATAATGGTACCATCAATGGCGAGCTTAAGGTCAGTCAGAGTGCTCCGGACAAGGGAGAGGACCCTCTGCATTCTGTCTATCTCCTGCCGCAGGAAAATGTTCATCGGCTGGAACAGACCCATCTTCTGCAGCCTCTCCTTTACCTGTGGTGGAAATATAAAAAAAGGGGTGTATGATTCCATGATTTGCCCTGAAGCTCAATTTTTACCCCAAACAATATGCCTATAAGGTGAACAATAACCCCAGGGAGGCATTCACTCCTTGGAATAACCAGCAACACAAATTCCGAAGGGCAACATTTGCCCAGCGTGAAGGCAGGAAGAGGCAGGGTGGACTGGTTTAATGGAAACAGAAATCACAGGGAGGAAGTGGGGACAGTGTATTGTGTTAGATCGTATTGTAAATAGTGTTCTAAAACAATATGCCTGTGGAGAGTTGGCTAGAAAATCAACTTACTCTGTCAACCTGCACTTAAATAACAATAAAAAGAAAATAAATTTAAAATAATCAATAATTTTATAGAACTGATGTATTTGGGATTCTAAAAATGTTCAATGTCTTACAATCCCATCTGGAAAAAAAAAGATGTAAAAAATGGAGAATCTATCAGATGTTACTGTTGTTGTTAGGTGCAATTGAGTCAGAACTGATTCAATAGCTGATCAGCTCGTGAGTTTTTCAGAAGCTGAAAATCTCACGAGAGCCTGTTGATCTTTCTACTGCACAGCCGAGGGTGGATTTGAATTGCCGGCCTTTGAGTTGGCAGTGTAGCAATCTATCCACTAGACCAGCAGAGCTCCTTTCTATCAGGTAATCACTCTGACTTATTTTTTATTCTTGAGGGAAAGGACAGGCACTCAGGAACACACAGAAGATTATCTACTACTTGACCACAGTTCTTGGAGTTGGACATCATTCTTGGAAAAGAAGAGGGTCAGTGGGAAACAGGAAGACGCACTAGAAGATGGATCGTCACAGAGGCTATAACAATGAGCTAACACACAGCACTGATCAAAAAAGATGGCACAGGACCAAGGGGGGGCCTTGTTCTCCTGTGCGTGGTGCTCTGTGAGTCTGGACTTGCTCAATGACTCAATGTGAAAACAGCCATGCAACGCTTACTGGGAATAGTCATTCTAATTCCAAATACACTCAAAGCCACACCCAGTGACATATGCACACAAGCACAACTATTCTGCTAGCTGCCTCAAAGAACTAGACTTCAGTTTTAAAAACTTTCTGTTTTACCCATTTTTTTAAAAAAAGTCATCCATGCATCTGCCCATTTGTCCATTCATTCATTTCCATTGTCCACGCCTTTCCTGAGGGTCTTCTCCGCACCAGATACAGCAAGCACTGGGGTGAGGTGCCTCACCCTGGTGTTAAACCAGCTACACTGAGTAGAAGCCACCTCCTGTGGGTCACGTGTGTGTCAGAGTAGAATGTGATCGATAGGGATCTCCACAGCTTAGTGTGTGGGGTGCAGGCCGTCGTCCAAGGCTCCTCTGGGTGCACACCAGCCTCCATCCTGTGGTTAGTGCTTCTCATGGACTGAACCGTGCCCATCCACCCCCAATCCATGAATGTAACCACATAATGTGCAAACTGTGGAATGATTCCCCACGATCCGGCTGTAAGAAGGGCTAATGATAGAACAGAGCACCTTAATCCCATTCCGTCCTTTGAGTCAGTGTAAGAGACGTTTTCCCAGCATGTGGCCTATAACATTTTCTATCTCACATAAATAAATGGAGAGGAGATGAAGCCAAGGACGGTCGCCTCGTATCTCCAAGAGTTCAGGTTGACCTTTTGGGTTCAGGTGCCTGCACTACGGAGCTTCTTTTTTTTTTTTTTTTAACATCCCATTCTTTAATGCAGTTTTCCAAACAAAAACAAAAGCAAACATGAAACTGGATTTTCAGCTATAATTTGTTTTAAGTTTA